AAATTCCATTCGGCCAGGAGCAGTGATTTGTTTTTTAAATGCTTAAAATGAAACATTAAAAATCTCTGATTCCCTTAACTAACATGCCGAGGGAAACGCAGAAATGCAAAATCCCAGGTAGCGACAAACTTCAGTAGCCTATATTTTTCCATAGGTGACGCTTTAAAAGCCCCCTATAGGTCATCAATTTGGTGTTATGGAGGAGGTTTGATGCTAGAAATATTCTCAATCCGACATGCATGGCGATAGGTAACATGTATCACAATCAATGTGTGTATATGTGTGGGTGGGGGGACCTCAAAAATGTTTCTCCATAACTCCCCTTTAGGTTTGTGTATTTGGATCTCTCCTAATTGTCCTATAAGAGTGATGTGGGGTCCAGTCACCAGTTTGCCTTGTCAGCAAATGGTCTTCGTGGTTGCAGTGACCTATGGCCTGTGTATTCCTCCTGGAGTCTACAAACATGGAGCTCCCAAGTATGGGAATTATGCCTAGAGATGGCCTCTGACAGGAATGCACAGCTCGAAGGTTGTTGCTATTAAAAATCGGCACATTGAATGACTGTGTTGCCATGACTATTTTAGTGATTGATTGATAGCATATGGAGTAATACATTTTAGCTACCATCTAGAGTTCAGAAGCAGGGCTTCCTCTATTCAAATGTTAATCAACTTGTTTAGCTGGTTCATAAAGGCTGGGTATAAAGGAAGTGATGATGGCAGGAAATGGGGAGAGGAAAGAAATGAGATGAACACAGGGTGGGGACACTGGAAGAAGAAGGGGGTAGAAGGTAGAGGCTCCATAGGAAGAAGAAGACCTGGGTAAAAAAAAAGGTCTTTGCTGGAGGAGACTTCACATAACCAAAGAAGGAAGTTCACCTAGTGATGACGCTAAATCTGCACTATGGGAGCACCCAGTTTCTTGCAATCACTTGAAAAGAGCCTGTAGTCCCACTCCCACTACTGACTGCTTGGATAAAAGGAGCATTCAGCAAGTAACAATGGGACCCTCAGGCCACAGGTTGGGCACCATCGCTTTGGGTGTTGAGTAGTCCTTAGCTTGCCAACAGTTCCTCCTTCAGGTCAAAAGTGTTTTTTTTTTTAAGTTGTAAGGGCTCATTCACACAATCTTTGATATCTGATCAGCAATCTGAGTTTGGATTGCTCTTCAGAGAGCCTTTGACAGGCAGTGAGGAGGTACTGTATGGTCTCCTCATTAGTTTACTAGCTCACCGCAACGGGTGCGTTCCATGCAGAACCGTACAGCTTGCACATTTTAACATACGTCAGCAAAGGCAGCTCCTGCAGTCCCATCCCCACAGGTTTTGTTTGAGAAGAATTTGGAGAAGAAATGCATGTTGGGAAGCACAAAACCACGATGCCTCCACCCCACCCTGAACTAGGGTTTCTCCCATCTTGTTGCAGATACAAGGTGCAGATTGCTAGCTAGACAGAACGTGTAGAGTATGCATGGAGGGGTGGATTTTTTGAGAAAGGAGATTCTTGTTGTGGGAGATTTGGTCTGTTACTCCTTTCTTGGATTCGGGTACCTGATGTTACAGAGAAAATAGGATGAAGAAAAAAAATATTCATCAAGTCAAATTCCCTTCAGTTAATCTCCATGACTGCAATGCTGTGCGGTACGGTACCATTCTGTCATCCTTATCCTCAACTGCAAGACCAAACCTTAACCCTGAACCAGTCCCCCAATACAGGACCCTAAGACTGGCATAACCTTCAAATTGGACCCCAACTTTAAAGAACTCCTATGTACTTCTGTAACGGTAGTAAGATCTAATTATTTTCTCCTTCCCTTCTCTCTTTTCCCCTCCCCTTTTCTCCCCCTTCCCTCCTTACATGTCTCCTCTCCTCCCCTTCTCTCTTCTCCCCCTCCTCTCTCCTCTCTCTTCTCCTCCTGTTATCTCTCTCCCCACCTTTCTATTTTCTCTCCTTTTTCTTCTTCTCTGCTCCCACTTTTATATTTCTTCTCTCCTCCTTCCTCTCCTCCTGCTTTCTCTTTCCCGATTCTCTCTCCTCTCCTCCTGCTTTCTCCTCCCTCTTCTCTCTTCTCCTCCCTTTTCTCTGCTCTCCTCCTCTCTCCTCCCCTCCCCTTCTTTCTCCTCCCCCCCTCCCTTTTCTCTCCTATCCTCCTCTCTCCTTCCCTCACATTCTCTCTCGCTCCTCTCCTTTTATCTCCCTTTCTCCCCTCCTCCTCCCTTTTCTCTCCTCTCCTCCCGCTCTTTCCTTTACTTCTCTCTCCTCACCTCCTCTCTCTATTCTCTTCCTCTCTCCTCCCCTCTCCTTCTCTCAGCTCTCTTCCCCTTCCTCCTCCTCCTCCCTTTTCTCTTTTCCTCTTTCCTCTCCTCCCTCCTCCTCCCTTTTCTATCCTCTCCTCCTCCTCCCCCTTTTCTATCCTCTCCTCCCTCTCTCCTCTTTTCCCCTTCTCTTAACTTTCCTCCCCTCCCTCCTCCTCCCTTTTCTATCCTCTCCTCCTCCTCCCTTTTCTATCCTCTCCTCCCTCCTCCCTTTTCTCTCCTCTCCTACCTCCTCCTCCCTTTCCTCTCCTCCCCTTCTCTCTCCTCCTCCTCCTTTTCTCTCCTCTCCTCCTTCTCCCTTTTCTCTCCTCTCTCCACATTCCTTTTCTCTCCTCTTCTCCTCTCTCCTCCCCTTCTCTCAGCTCTCCCCTCCCTGCTTCCTCCTCCTCCTCACTTTCCTCTCCTCCTCTCTCCTCCCTTCCCATTCTCTCTCTCTCCTCTTCCTTTTATCTCCCCTCCTCTCTCATTCTCTTCCCTCCTCTCTCCTCTCATACTCACCACTTAGATCTGTATTTCTTTTTGTAGTTGTTGGTGAAATGTTATGAAATGTTTCACGTGAACCCACATCCTTCTCACAAGTGTGCTGGAAACTTCTCTGAGATATTAATAGCTCTGGTAATGTTTCTGGTGAAACCACAAAGAATCCGGCCGATATCTGTGACAGCGAGACACCTACAGAAGTGTTTCTATAATGTGAGCAGGCTGCACCCCATCCCCCCACCAGCTACAAGAATAGAATGGTTTTGTCTGTTACTTTCTGACTATAATCAGTTTTAAAATGATGATGATGATGATGACGATGATTGCTATTACTTTTATTATTAATATGATGGTTTTTGTGGCTCTTGTCTTTTCTCAGACACTTAGCTGCAGAGAGGTCAGGTTTCTTTTTAGACTGAATGACATTCATCATCAAGGAAACAAAGATACAAACTAACATTTGGGCTCCGGGGTCTCTGTCAGATCCATTGATGTCACAGGTGATGATGATGATGATGAAATCAAGTGAGTAGATGATTCATCTGTTTTCCGATTCTCATGCAAATCTGAATATAAAAAAATGTCTGATTTTGAAGAATCACACAATTCCAGGCTGCAGGCAATCTAATCCTCAAATTGTACGATCGTCCACTGAAGGGGGGAATCTACACTTTTATAGTCAAGAGGTCCGATTGCTGGTGCACCAAATGTGCAAATCAGTTCACTCATCATTAGTTGTGTGGATAATATCCTTCCAGACAACTCAGAGAGATCTTGGGTGGAAAAGAGCCTCCAACCCTGACTATGGCTACCTTGGATCTGAAAGGGTTAACTCGCCTGCAGCCAAAAAATGTCCTTGAGGGGTTACGTGGAAGAGGGCACAGTGTTGAGGGAACTGGGTGGCTGCTGAGGCTCTTCTGGGCTATTGTGACCATTCCTGGTTCCATTGAGCGAGTGGGGACTTTACACCCTGTTGTGGGACAAGTTTATGCTGGTGGTGAGCCTAAGGTGTGTTGTGTACCAGAGTTTATGGACTGTTTTGTTTAAAGCTGAAGATAACCTGTTTTGTTTTCCTTTTTTTGGGGGGGGGGAAGTAAAACGTTTTTGTTTTTTCCAAAGACACAGCGGGCCAGTGATCTGGACCTCCAAAATATCACAATACATAGCGGAAAATTAAATCATAATTACAGGATTTTAATGACATGGATCCCTCATTACAATGAAAGGAAAAATGGTGGCATGGGGCACAATATATAAGGAAAACAACCAAAATACTGAAATAACCATGACATCATATTATTAGCAACAGCAACACATCATACATTTTACTGTGTCATTGTGGTTTTAGCTGAAGAACAGCATTGTGGCTTAGTGGTTAGCAATCTAACTTAGCCTAACCCTGTCTGCATGGAGTTTTTATGTTGTTGGTGTGTTTTGAGGATTTCCTTCACTTTCTCTATGAAAGCTATCCTGAGCGATGTGGGGTGATTAGGCTCAGTGGCGGTGAGCATTATTTGTGCCAGCCTGAACTGTAGTTTAAGGGCTTTCTGGACCACTTTTATTACAAGGCAAAGCAAACAAAAGTAAAAGTTCAAACAACGTTGCCCACGCAGGTGATTTTCTCCAGCAGATAACTGAAAAAATGCCAAGCCACCTGGCTTCTGGTGAGTAGCACCGCTGTTCCTTGCCAAGGTCCCTTAAAATGAAGCTCTCTGGCTCTCCCAGCTAACTGAGCCTTACAGACCCACTCCTGACATTTAAATCTGGGTTCTCCTGACACCCTGGGCTCTCTCACTCTTCTGAGACTTAAAGAATCTGTCAGGGATCCAGGTATGACCAGAGATGTGTGGACTGACACAGGGAAACAGCAGGCTTCAGAAATGATTAAATAATAATAATATTTATTATGAGCTGCACAAAATAAACAAACACAGTGCAAAACAAAACCAACCTTAAACTAATAGGTACGGGTGCAGTCAGGGCTGGAGAGGTGGAATGGTCAGGCAGGCCATAAGGTACTGTCAGGCACCGCCTGGCGGGATCTCTAGTGACCCACAGAACAGGATTCCCCAGGGCACAGAGTCTAAGCCCCAGTCTGCCTTTTCACCAGAGCTCCTGATGGTGGGGATGGACTTGGCGCAGGACTGAGACCAGGTCGCGGCCCCTGAGTGCACCCAACAGTGGTAGAGGGGTCCGCCGAGGTTATGTACTGGGGGAAAGCTTGATGTGAAGGGGCTGGCAGGTTTGGACAGTAGTGACTGGATCCGTGCGGGATGGATGGATCGTCTGGGTAGCGTCAGGTGTAGTCAGGCCGGCCAGGTCAGCAACGTGCGGGCCGTGAGGTACCGGAGGAGCAGGCAGAGAATAGTCAGGGTCACAAGCTGGGTTCAGTAACTCACGGGCAGCGCGGTACAGAGGATCAGGCAGAAGGATGGTCAGCAGAGGTCAGGATCAAAGCAGGGTCAGCAACTAGGCAGGAACACAGGATACCAGGTACAGGGGCTCATGGGAAACATACACCAAGGCACTGACTGCAGGTCTGGCCATTCCTTAAATACACTTCCTTCAATCAGCCTCAGGTGATGGCTGATTGCAGGAGTGAGCTTCTGGCTGCTGAGAGCACCCGCTGGTCAGCCCTGGTACTGCAGCCCACACGGCAGGTGAGTCCCACCACCAGTGCTGAGTCCATTCCTGACAGAATCTCTCCAGTCGCCTGGACATACTAGTTGCCCCAGCTCTCATAGTCCTGCAGACTCGCACAGTTGTCCTAACTCTCCCAGTCCTGCATGTAGGGAATCTCTCCAACATGGAGTCTCGTCTCCCAAGTGGTTCACCTCTCATGGCTGGAACACTCAGCTATCTCCAAACAAGAGCCCTGAGCTATAGCTAGCTCCTGGCTTATACCGATTATGTACACCTGTGCACTCACGTGGCCTGCAGGTCTCCAGCAAGACATGGAAACAGGATTGAGGGCTTCATCCCACCTATTACAAGCCTTCAAGCTCCAGGCCCAGATTGGGATTACAAAGCCAAGAGAAAACGTCTCTGCTCACAGTAAACACTCTGTAGCTCCGCCCTCTGCATTTGTGTGAACCCTGTGTCATTCCTATATCTATTCTCACTATGGCAGGACCTAGCACTTTCACACCTTTTTGATTAGCTGAACCAGAAATCTGCTTTTAAGAATTGCTAAAAACCCAAATATGCTGACAATTGGGGCAAGTCACAATAAGGAGATGTTATCCTTTGATCACTTACCTATACTTGTGTCCACCAATTATAGAAGCCTAAGGTCCAGTGAAATGTGGGTTTCCCTCCCCCAGTTCAATCAGTAGAATGCAGACGTCCCACCCTTAACTCATGTAACTCATGGGCTTCCAAACCATAACCCATCCAATAGAAAATCAGGCTTCCAATCTCTAACTCATCCAATTGAATTCATCCTTCTCACCTCTAACTTATTATTTGGAGTGCAGTTATCCCAGCCCTAACCCATTTATTAAAATGCAGGCTTTCCAGTCTTAACCCATGAAATGGGATGCAGACGTCCCTTCCTTAACCAATTCAGACTTTCTACCCCAAACCCATTCAGTGAAATGTGGGATTTACACCCCTAACCTCTCCAATGGAATGCAGGATTCCTGCCCAAAATCCATCTAATGGAATGCCAGCTCTCCACCTCTAACCAATCCAATGGAATGCAGTCTTTCTACCCCAAACCCATTCAATGAAATGTGGGATTCCCACCCCTAACCCATCCAGCAGAATGTGAGTTTCCCACCCCTAACCTATCCAGCAGAATGTGAGTTTCCCACCCCTAACCTATCCAGCAGAATGTGAGTTTCCCACCCCTAACCTATCAAATGGAATACGGGCTTCCCATCCATAACCCATGAAATGGAGTACCAGCTCCCCACCTTTACCAAAACATGCTGTCTTTCCATCATTAACCTATTCAATGGAATGTAGGCTTTCCACTCCTAACCTATTCTATGGAATGTAGGCTTTCCACTCCTAACCTATTCTATGGAATTTGAGCCTCCCACCCTAACCCATCTAATGGAACATAGGCTCCCCACTTCTAACAAATTATCCTGCAGTGATTTCAAAGGATCCAAGAGAGCTCTACTTTTGCTTTTTAGTAAAGGGTGCAGGGGGTTGTAGGGTAGGATTGTAAGATGATGTATTTTGCCCAATAAGTGCTATCCTAACCTATTGGAGTAATTTAGGATTGTACAACCTAGGATTGTAAGACCACAACTCCATCACAGAGCACAGGCTCCCTAAGTGAAGTCGAAAGAACAAAGACGATCTCTGTGTCCATTCTGGCTGAAAATTTGGATGAACTAAGGAGATAATTAGGACAATATTTGTATTCAGCGAACTTTGCGACCGTCATGAGGATACACTGTTCCTCTAGAACATTCTGCTCTGTAATAAAACCAAGCAGTGAAGACACCTATCATGTGGCAGTGTTGCTCTACTTCTGTTAAATATGTGTAGAGTCATCTCATGTCCACTATCACTCATAAAGGTTCCTTCAAAGCCTGGCAATGGAACCACCAATGTATTCCCAGTAATCAAATCTTCTTCTCTGAGGTCCTTAGATAATATCACATCGTCTATAGACAGTCTGAGAGCATCTTGTAGACATTTATCTCGGCTTCCTTCTCACATATCCAATGAAGTTTTGAAGTACAAGTTTCTGCAGTCAGTTCTTCAGCCAGCTTGGCACAGGTCATGTCCTCGCTGTCATTTCTGACAGGGCTGAAAAAAAAAAGGACGTCAATTTAGAAGGTTTTTCACTCTGAGCCCATCAGTGCAGCATTTATCTGTCAGTGGTGTTTCTGATACAAGGGTCCAGTAGATCCATCACTGGTTCAGGGGGGGGGGGGGGGGGGGGGGGTCCTGGCTGATCAATAGAATTCAGAACAAATGTATAATTAAATGTCCAGGTATATTCCTAAAATCTGCATACTTACAATTCAGTGTTGTTATCACTCCAGTACCAGAGAGGCGCCTCATATGTATCCCGACGTTCCTTCATCAGTCCAATCCAAAAATCTTTCTTCATATTCTTTACAAAGGTCTTAAAACGGAACCACGGGTCAGTTAAAACTTCAAATTATTGTTCATATTGATGATGTTTATGTATGAATATGTCAGATCTATTAGAGTGTCAGCTCCTCTGGTACAGAGACTGATGGGACTGTGGGGGGAGGGGACATTAGAGTGTAGGCTCCTCTGGTACAGAGACTGATGTGACTGTGGGGGAGGGGACATTAGAGTGTAAGCTCCTCTGGTACAGAGACTGATGGGACTGTGGGGGAGGGGACAATAGAGTGTAAGCTCCTCTGTACAGAGACTGATGGGACTGTGGGGGAGGGGACATTAGAGTGTAAGCTCCTCTGGTACAGAGACTGATGGGACTGTGGGGGAGGGGACATTAGAGTGTAAGCTCCTCTGGTACAGAGACTGATGTGACTGTGGGGGAGGGGACAATAGAGTGTAAGCTCCTCTGTACAGAGACTGATGTGACTGTGGGGGAGGGGACATTAGAGTGTAGGCTCCTCTGGTACAGAGACTGATGTGACTGTGGGGGAGGGGACATTAGAGTGTAAGCTCCTCTGGTACAGAGACTGATGGGACTATGGGGGAGGGGACATTAGAGTGTAAGCTCCTCTAGTACAGAGACTGATGTGACTGTGGGGGAGGGGACATTAGAGTGTAAGCTCCTCTAGTACAGAGACTGATGTGACTGTGGGGGAGGGGGACATTAGAGTGTAAGCTCCTCTGGTACAGAGACTGATGGGACTGGCTCAGTGATCTCTGTACAGCGCTGCGGTATATGTCAGAGCTATATATATGTATAATAATAATAGTGTGTGACTATGGGGGAGGGGACATTAGAGTGTAAGCTCCTCTTTTACAGAGACTGATGTGACTGGGGGGGGGGGCATTAGAGTGTAAGCTCTCTCTAGTACAGAGACTGATGTGACTGTGGGGGAGGGGACATTAGAGTGTAAGCTCCTCTGGTACAGAGACTGATGGGACTGGCTCAGTGATCTCTGTACAGCGCTACGGTATATGTCAGAGCTATATAGATGTATAATAATGATAGTGTGTGACTGTGGGGGAGGGGACATTAGCGTGTAAGCTCCTCTGGTACAGAGACTGATGGGACTGTGGGGGAGGGGACATTAGAGTGTAAGCTCCTCTTTTACAGAGACTGATGTGACTGTGGGGGAGGGGACATTAGAGTGTAAGCTCCTCTGGTACAGAGACTGATGTGACTGGGGGGGAGGGGACATTAGAGTGTAAGCTCCTCTTTTACAGAGACTGATGTGACTGTGGGGGAGGGGACATTAGAGTGTAAGCTCCTCTGGTACAGAGACTGATGGGACTGTGGGGGAGGGGACATTAGAGTGTAAGCTCCTCTTTTACAGAGACTGATGTGACTGTGGGGGAGGGGACATTAGAGTGTAAGCTCCTCTGGTACAGAGACTGATGTGACTGGGGGGAGGGGACATTAGAGTGTAAGCTCCTCTTTTACAGAGACTGATGTGACTGTGGGGGAGGGGACATTAGAGTGTAAGCTCCTCTAGTACAGAGACTGATGTGACTGCGGGGGAGGGAACATTAGAGTGTAAGCTCCTCTGGCGCAGAGACTGCTGTGACTGGCTCAGTGTTCTCTGTACAGCGCTGTGGTATATGTCAGAGCTATATAAATGTATATCAATACTAATAGCAGTATTAATAACAATACCAGCAGTCCAGTCTGTGTAGATCTGATGGTAGCCAGCCGGGCCTTGTGCGATCTGCAGAATTTATCACTCTCATTTCTGGATTCCTTGATGCCTGAGAAGTAGTAACACATTTCATTCTGGAAGATCCAGTTCTCCGGACAAGGACGCAGTTGTGCTGAGTGAGAAAATCAGTTTATATCTTGATTATCTGTAACTTGGAAACTTGAACATTGATTTTCTACTGGAATATTGGTGAACATCAGCATAAGGGAGGAAAGCAGGAAAATCCAGTGGGACCAGATGTTTCTGTTGGTAAACAGGCCTTTCCTTGGCCTTGGTCACCTCCTATGGATGCTTCTTGGTTCCTCCCTTTTATGATGTACATACACAAGGTTTTCTATATAGATTTGCTGTATTTTGGATTTTGTATAGTGTCATATCTCCAGCAGTTTATAGGGAAACATTGCAATCAGCTTTACTGTATATGTCAATTTGTGTGAAGATGGCAAGACTAGAATTTTGTGGGAGAAATAAATAAAACTCAGAAATACCGTAGTGACAACAAGCAGTCCCGTCATTTCCGGCTCAGGACACCCTTGACTTGGCCTTCGTACAAATATTACAGATTCTGTGTATTCAGGGGTGTTAAAGTTAATATTGAGTATCAAACTCACCCCCCAGGGACACATTGTCCTGAACTCTTTCAGTCATGCAGTTGAGTTTCCTCTCCATTTCCTGTAGTCTGTGTGTGACATTACCCTCGTGGGCGGGACATGTGAAGGA